ACAAAATCCTTGTTGTCCCTGCGTCGCCCTGCTTAAGAAAAGTTATGAATTGGCTGATGCAAAATAAATTGATGGTATCACATATTAATACATATTATTTGAAGATGCTTGAGGACAAAAATGCGTGGCAAGAATCATGGTGAAACACAGAATATACTTCGATGTGCTCTAAGCTAGACCTGATGAATCGACTCGTGCAGTCGAAAGGCGGCTTTCGCCCATGAAATTTGCTGCTGCAAATCCGATGGTACTTCTCCTGCCAGTTCCGGGCGAGAGGGCGAAGGTGGTGGTTGCTGACCAGGTCAAAACTGGCGCATCCCCTTTTTCTCCGCGCCGTGCTCGGTCGGATCCATCAACCCCTTGACCGCATCACGGCGGCGCGCCACACTGAGGCGATGCGATCGCCACAGATGCGCGTGGGAGGCGAAGGGCCCAGCGGTCTGTGGAAACTCGCAGAACAAGGGATGATCTTCCCAAGCACCTTTGCGAGGCAACACCGCCTCATCGGCACGCGGAACGCACGCTGCGTGAGGAAAGGTGAAGCCAAAGAAAAGATGGGAGGGAAGTGTCTGAATGGAGCAAGTTGTGTCTGAATGCCTCATTCAGTGCAAGGCTGCAGGTGTTGGAGTTTGTTGGAAACATGTTACGAAAGATATATATATATATAAGGTGCAAATGACATGAGCATCCGTGTTGATCCAAGTGAGCAAATGACATGGACATCCGTTTTACCAGCAACTCATATACGCCCTACATGATATAGACACGGTGTGTGCAAATCAAAAAAAATACTGCTATGAAATCCTGCCCAATCAATGAAGGAAGAGTAAGATTCCAAAAGGTGACTATGAAAATAGTCAGGCCAAGTCATGCGCCGCAAGCCCCAAACCCTCCAGGAAGTTTTTTTGGCCCACCATCTTCAATCTCATCAATTATATAGATCAGATATCAGCTAGGATCAGAAACCCCAGGATAAACATTCAAGAGAATGCTATGTCCATACATATGTAATTACAGTAAATGTGATGATATGTATGTTGAAACATGTCTTGCACTTCTAACCCCACAAGGCCTCGGCTTCAGGCTCTTCAACCACTTCCACTTTGTAGGTCACCAACAAATGTCGCAGGAGTTCTGCGTCACAGACCAACAGCTTTGCGAGTTGCTTCAAAGGCCATCGATCCCCAACAGCCTCATCGGGCATGGCATGCGTGCGCGCGATGCGCACCGGGACCACGCGCGATGCGCACCGTGACCACATGCGGAGCATGGAGCAGGAGTTTATCAGGTCTGTCAGGTTGAAACAAAGTAGGATCGCAATTGGGATGATGAGAAAACAACATGAAGAATCATTTTATAGCGGATGTTCCGTGATGAAAACGCACTCTCCAGCGTTGGAAGCATGGGAGTTCATGAGTCGCACGATTGATCCTCTAGCAGATTTCAAATTGCTTGGGTTGCTGATCGGAAACTTTAACAGCAGCGCTGTGAAGCTTGAGAAAACGAAGGCAATTGAAGGTGTTTTTTGAAAACAAAATTGCAAGTCGTGCATGAAAATATTTGAAACTATACAAGTTGGTCGTCCTTGTGGTAGGCGCGGGCTCGAAGCCACAGCAACCGGACTCTTGCCAAGTCAGCCAGGTCCACAAGCACCAAGGAAGCCCAAAGATCGCTGGCAGCAAAGCGCAAGAATCGAACATAGTGTCCACCTGGGTTGAGGATGGAAAAATTTATGCAAACAGTTATTGTACGATCTTGTGTTCGATTGGTTTCTAATTGTTTGTGAATCCTTTGCAGTCTTGATTCTTCTCCGGACTCAAGATCTGGTTTGAGAACCAGCACCATCCCCCTGTATTGCTGCATGACGGTTGCAATGTTGAGAATGCACAACAACAATTTAAAAAAAAATACAAATAAATCAGACATCTCTCCCACGAGATCATGTGCCTTCCGAATGTTCGTGTCTTCGGATTTTGCTGCTCATCCGGGTGTCGTTTTTTCCGGACTTCGTCCTGCCCAGGCACTGAGGAAGTGCCCCGTCGCTTCGATGGCCTCGCGGACCAAGGGATGGCCCACGAGTCTTCGGTCCAAGGCAGCCAGGTGCGCGGGCAGCGCGTCCGGAGACGTGGCCAGGAGCAACAGGATCACCTCGTCCGGACGCGACGGACGGACGCAGACGCAGACGGGTCTGCATTGACCAGAACGGGTCTGCGGGCCTAGGGCGCGGCAGGGGGTGGAGTTGTTTCGGTGTGTGTGGTGGTGGAGTTCTTCGGGTGGTAGAACAGCACCGCACAGGGGTGGAAAAGACCCCCTTGCACAGCCTGAGCACCAAATGGGGCAAAACAGAAACCTGGCAACAATTCATACGCAGGAAACAGGGCAGAAAAAAGTAACCCACAGGGCAGGAAAAGGAAACAGTCCGAGTCCAATTTACCGTTGAAGCCTGGGCCAATTTGTTCTCCCTGCTGCCCGTTCCCTCCATTCTGATGTTTCTTTTGAGTATCAACAGATTACCTCCCTTTTGGAACAAGAAAAGCTATTGAAGACTGGCCCCGCTGGCCCTGGTGATGGCCCTGCTCTTTGAGGAGCAGTGCTTTGGAAAAGTCGGCACGGCGGGGCAACCCGCGGACGCGCGAAGAGAAAAGGTGCTGCGCATTGGGGAATCAAGACGGAGTCTCAGATGCTAATGCCCGGAAATCATCCTCATCCTCCAGTTTCTGTACACAGACACGTGTCATATGACCTACTCCTCAGCCAAGTGGCTAGCCGTTGGACGAACGGCTCGTTCTCAAAGGGTGTGCCTTCTTCACGTGCCTGTTGATATGCTGCCAGCAGCGGGTCAATGGTCTGTGAGATCGCTTGCAAGCCCAACCGTTCATCATAATGGTCTGACGGGGTGGCACCAGCATCACCCCTTTGGGCGTTCGTTGTCTTTAAGCGCTGGCTGAAGAGAAAGCGTGACAAGGCTTCGAAGCGCAAGCAGTACTCGTGGCACGTCACGAATTCCTGGGTCCTGGAGCTCCAGGGCTGCTGGAGATGCAAATCCATGCGAACGGCACGGCAGCGATCGTGCAGGTAGCTGTAAATCTGCGGAAGTGATGGGGTAACTGCAAAGAGCCCATCTAGTCCATCCTGGGCATCGTCTGCATCCAACACAGAGTCGATGAGGAAGTCCATGGTCTCCAAGCAGATATCAGGAGGTCGCACCTCTTCTGGCAAGAATTCTTTTCCAGCGGAACTGCGCTGATACTTCTTGGTGGCAAGCGAGAAATCCACCTGCAGGATGTTTTCTAAGCGTTCTTGCACTGAAACAGTTGGACGAGCAAAACGAAGCATGTATTGCGCTTCGAAAGGAGAAAGGGATGATAGAGACCAGATCCATAATGATCCATACTGATCCAATCTGGATCAAAAGAATTCCACATTCACATTCATCTTTGCATCTTGCACCATGGTTTACTTTTTGCTTTGCGCCAACAGCACGCACCTCTGGTCTTTGAAGGCTGCAGCCTTTGCGCCACTCCAGTGGATCTAAAAGCCTGCATGTTGGATCTAGCCATGCACATCCAAAGAGAGGGGTCATTCGCATTTGTTTGTGCTTTTCCTGCACTCCCTTCTACCAGAAGTTGGCAAGAGCGGCCAACATGAGATGCATCCACCGGGTGCAAAAAGAAAAAACAGGTCCCTTGAGAAGTGTGATTGATCTTCAACAGCTCGGGCTGATTGAGAATCTTGGAGACAAACACGAACAAAATTTACTGCAAATGAACATTTATGTTTATGAAATGTTGGAAAACCCGTGCAAAGAAACACTGCAAATGGACAAGCGCCTCTCACGTTGTCGTGACTGTGCTTCCTCCGCCGAGCACTTCTCGCGAAGGGAGCCCACCACCATGGCAACGGAGAGAAATGTGTCAAAAAGTGCATGTCATGCCAATGACATGCGAGTGCAAATTGATCGTGTTTAGGCTGTTTAGGGCACTTTCATTGGCGGTGCCACTGGTACCGGTGAACCCACTAAGCATTGGCTATTTGAATGTGGTGGCTGCAATGTGTTTTCTAAACAACAATCACTTGCGTACCGCATCGCGCACGTTGTTGCAGCTCTTCGTGACTAAATTTATGCTGGTTCAATGTCAAATTCGTGTAAGTATTGCGCTATAAGTCCAATCGCATTACGTGCATCACCTGTGGGAGCAAGCCTTAGATAAGCAAATCATCTGCCTCCATTCCCACTGTGTCGTCGAGGCATATCATGTTCCTTTCGTCTACTGGAGCCCAAGCTTATCATCATCTTCCAACTGATGAAGTAGTACCCATTCCCTCCATTGGACCTGGCTGTGCTACGCACGACCTGGCCAATTCTGTGCTGCGGCTGGTGCGGAACACAACCAGTTCTCTCCTCCAGTTTGGTGGCTCTTTGCTGGCTCTCCGCCAACTCTGCCTTCTTTTCCTGCTCCGTCTTCACCTGCGCCACAAGCTATGTGCGAGCATGCAAACCACAGAAATCTACAGCTTCACGTCGTGTTCAATTTGGTTGAAGTTGACCGAGGACACGTGTTGACCGAGCAGCCGCATGAGGAGCCGCATGGGGACTTGCTCCAACCTCCCCGCCTTGAAGCGCTTGGCATCCTGAGGAGTCAACAGGCTTGCATGGATGAGGGACGTCGCTGGATCCTGAAGGCGAAGCAGGCGAACGCAGGCGCAGGCTGGCGCAGGAAGGCTCGCTAGCACCGGTGGGGTCGGAAGGAACACACACGTCTGACAAAATCAGTTCAAAGACTCCTTCAAAAGACTTGCAAAGTGATGGTCCATCATGCAGTGTGGAAAGATACACACGCAGTCAGGTCTGAAACCGAGGCGTCAGCTTGGAAGCAGGAATTAAACATGGTACGTTCACGCGCATTGGAAGTTCACCCAAGGATCTTCACATGGAAAAAACTGCATAGAAAAAGTGAAGAAATTACCAGTCATAGTCACATGCCAGAAAGGTGACATTGCACTCACCTTCGTGCGGCCCAACTGGTGACATGGCAGCACATCCATGACGTCTCGTATCGAATCGTGAGGTGTGACACCAGGCCTTTCTGCGGGTTTCTGCATCCTGGATGAGTTTGCCAGATCTCATGCAAACTGACATCAGTACACGCTCACATATTGATCTTCGGCTGGCAAAAGGTTTACTGTCTGCGGCAGAATTTGGTGATTTTCATGAACAACTTTTGCTGATCCTATCTCAGTCTCCAGAAACAAAATCATAGTCTCTTCCAAACTCTTTCGAGGCCCATCTTGAAGCCAGCACGGTCTTCTATTTCTATTAGTGAAACAACCAAAAGAATGCCAACGAAACATAATCTGCCTGCAATTCGCTGAGCTCTTTCAATCTCATCGCTTGCAACTCCTCAAATGCAGAGCTGGCCAGAACCGTCCTTTATTCAACCTCTATGTCCCCCCAGCTGCCGTTTCTCCTCCATGCAGCAAAACAACTTCTCATATAACACGGCTAGAGAGAACTTATTCCCATGCAACTTGAGAACAACAGAAGAACCCCTGGCCAACGGGTTTATATACAGAACACATGATTGAAATCATACAAAACTGACAACCCTAATCCCGCCTCAAATCCCCCAAGCAGAAGTTCACCACTGCTTCAACACCTCGAGTACCCAACACAACATGTCCAACCAACACCCCCTGGCCCCGCACCCCATCTTCACCTACCCGCTCCGCGCGACGATGACCCGCTCCTCCTTGCGTTTGGCCTCCTTTTCCTGCCGAGCTTTGGCCTCCTTCGCCGCCCGTGCCGCAGCCATGGTCTTCAGCCTTGCAACCGATCGGACGGCGTCGGGACGTGTCCAGGGGAGGCCTGACGCGGGGTGGAGCGGTCGAAAGCCCGTGGTAGTACTTCGCGGTCCAATTCTTCTGTCCAAGAAGATACATTAAACGAAAACACAAGAGTATCAAGATACATGAAAAGGATTGAAACATCTTGAAAAGGTCAACATGTAAGTATGAATAGTTCACCTACACTTGCCTTTGGGTGATTTATGGGTAAGTTGAGGACAACCAGAAGGCTGCAGCCTGCAAGCAGTGATCCTTTGATCTAAGAGACCTAAGAGGTGGAGGATGGTTGAGGGTTGTACACTTGCTGGTCATTTACGTAACCAAACATGGACTTGTTCAAGGCCATGTTTCTCTACAAAGCGGCCTTGTTCCATATGTCCATGTTGGTGACAAGTGGTGTAAGAAATATGAGCCACCTCAGCTTCACACCACTTCCTTCTCAAGGCAGCGGGCTTCCACCATGCCCAGATTCGCGCCTGACAAGCTGAGCATCTGGAGATACGTGAGAGCTGGGAGCATTGAGTTGGAAGAGAACACATCTTCTGGACATTGCAAGAAGCACCTCCTCGTGGCATGCAGCATGCCACCTTCTTCAGACAACACGATTGAACAACAGGATCTTAGGCCCCAGCCGCAGCTTTGGCCATGCGCGATCTCAAGTCCTCTTCAGCCTGATGCTCTGGAAACACAACGCCCTTCAATTCTGTTGCAGCAGTTTGTCTGTCATCCTCATATCCTATTTGCTTTCTTGCCCAGGCCTCAAAGCTAAAACCCCGTTGCTTTTTGACACATCCGCCATCCAAACCGCCACCCAAACCCCAAAATACCGTAAGACGCCGCCTTGAGGAGCTTCTGAACCTCCTGAGATGCATGATAACCCAGGCGACAGAACCTTGAAAGTGGATTTGTTTGGATTCCTTCGGAATTCCTTAGAGATGAGATAAACATTGTTTCAGAGGCAACTACCTCGTACTGGTAGCATGATCAGTACATTCACATACATGAGTATAGTGGAAGTGAATCCAAACTGGTTAATTATTTAGTCAATTGGTGTGTCAAGTTTCTCGCATCTTTTGTTTTGGGGTTCCTTCTCTCCAATCAGCATATCTCTCCTTCCTATTCAGCAGCATTTTTTCGTAGCTCATTCAGGAGGAGTCTGGCACGAACACGTCCGCGCCAGAGTTGCTGGATCAAAACAGCACCTGCAACCAGGCCGGGACAAGGTCTTGCCCGTTGAGGGAAAGAATTCGGTACTAGCTCTGATCACCTCTGAGTTGATCGTATCTGGGAGGCAACCATGAACTTCAATCATGATATTATGTAAATAATTAATGATGAACCATGACAAACCTGCGGGTCTCCTTCGAACGGCTTTCATCAACATGACCCGCTTTTGTCCAGACGCTTGCACCGAAGGTACACCGAAGAGCCTGCACGAGCTCGTAGTCTTACTGCTGATATGTCGAGAACACATTTCAAAGCTCGCGTACAACAAATCACATAAGTTCACGTCAGCCACCTTGCTTTTCGTTTCCCTTTGAACAAATATTTTGCTCAAGCTACCCTGGCACCCTCCAGCTTGTACGCCGAACAAAGACCCTGAACAAATACTTACAGGAGCAGAAGTACGATCTTGTAGCCACCTTCCATAGGTACAAAAGAACGAACCGAAGAAGCAGTACAAAGAGAACCGTCCGAGGCCAGTCCGCACTTCCATCGCTAAGGCATGCACTTTTCTGCCGTTGATCCACATCCGCCTGCTGCACCTGCGGGCGGCTGGCACGCTTCATCTACTCATTCAATATGAGTCCAGCTGGAAAGATCTCCTAGGTTTGAGACACACCGTGACACTTTGGGGTCCAATAAAGAATAGAAAAACACGCAAGTAGGAAGTAGAAAAACAGAGGAGGGAGCACCAATCACACATATGGAAAAAAAAAGCAGGTGATCCAGACGATCGAACGGAGGCTTGCCATTTGTGGGGGCCTCTGGGATCGACGTGCCGTGCCGTGGGTGGGTAAGATGGCTTTCCATGGCTTGTGGTGAAGTGCCTTCAGTTCAATTCCCTGCGGCCCGAAGTCACTAAGTCATATATAAAGGCTTCAGCTTCCCCATTCCGACATGGCTCGTCTTCTATTTAGACTGACACTACCCCACACCTGCTTGTTCACCATGCGCGAGAAGTATGGGCGACCGGTCGCCATCTCCAATTCGGCCAACTCCACCTGCTTCTTCGAGAACAGAAGAGGGCAGTGGTGAAGAACCATGGAAAGGCCCATGAAATCCCTAAAAACTGTGTAATTAGTCTGGTTTGTGCTCTGTTTGTACCTTTTGAATCCTCTTGACAGATCATCTCGGATCTGTAAACGCCTGTAGCACGTCTTCGTCGCAGAAGCAAAGGCCATCCGCATCGGCCAACATCCGCGAGAACTGCGCCAGGTCGCACCCATCCCGACTGTCTCGGAAGCCGCTGAAGAAGGTCCCCCAGTGATAGCGTCGCACCATGTAGTCATACTCCTGGCCGACAACAAAAGCACCGACCGACCCATTAGCACATCTCTCTCTGATGACAGATGACGCCAAAAAGCCGTCAGGTGAAACAGGCGCGTGACATCAGGTATCAACCCCGCCGATGAAAGGCGTGAGGTCATTATACCAACAAGACCCAAGACGGGAGCTTCACCCTGCAGCTGCACCCTGCAAACCCCCAAATCCAGGCGAAAGACTAAAACCACTGCTCTAAAGGTCGCGCGCGGAAAGCCCTCGATCACGCCGTTCGCCTTGTCCCAGTCTGTGGAGTTCCCCTGGAAGCCCAGGTGCTTCGCGAAGCGCAACAACTCCTTGCGACCCAACCTGCACGGGGAGAGTTCGCGTTCACGTCCTCGCCGGGGTCTCGCGAGGCCGAGCCCGACGAAGCCCGAGCCCAACGGTCGAGCTGTGCTTTTTTGCTCTCAGTAGAGCTGTGCTCAGGGGGTTGTTGGTTCTGCTTGGAAAAGGAAAAGTCTGCAGCGTTCAGCATAGCAGGTGTTAAACCAGATCAAACGAACAACCTTGTCCAACTGCGTCGCAAGCAGCGCTGCTTGGCAACCCTC